AAGATGAATCAAATCCTGCGCTGTGATTGGCTACCCGAGCGGGCAAGATGGAGCTATCTTGCCCGCTCAAGACTACCGGCCGTGTCCCGCAAGAAAAATTTCCCCGAAAGCCATATAATAAATCCTTTATTGACGAAGCTTGTTCGGTCAAGATGGCTGAATATTGGCCTCGTTCGTTTTTTGAGAGTTTATGGACCTCGACTCCGTCTCGGTCTATAAACACGCAAAAAAAGAACTTGGCCAATATCGAGCCATCTTGACCTCACGCTTGGTCAATAACCCAGATATCAACTATCTTCCTTGCTGATTACAAAAATGTTTCTTACTTTGCAGCTGCCTTCAAGACGTGAATACAGTTTTCCAGTGCCTGGTGGATGTCATGGAAACAGCGCACAAGAATGACACACAGCTGTTCGTTCATATCCGTGTGGCCATGTTCTCTTCCATCTCTGTCTTACTTCAGCATGCCCGAACGGAACACCTTTCAGGTAAGACATAAATTTCTTTTAAAGCGATTTCTGAGCTTCTCCATTTTTCATGGCATGATCCGTTTACCGCTTTAAAGTGATTGCTTTTATTATTTTATTATTTTAGATAAATTAAAAAGCAGTTATGCCATGGTTCTGTTACCGCTGGCTTGTGAGCCACTGGAATACTTGCGAGGAAGGTTCAGTAATGAGGAGAAACAGCAGGACAGGGTAGGCAACATATGTTAATGTATTTGTAACTGTATCTTTTCTTTGTATGTAAACAGATTACGATTTTCATCTTAATGTGAAATGCTGTAGAGTAGTGCTGTAATTTGTGCAAAAAAGTAAGCGAGTTTTTTTTGTATTGTAACTTATTGTAAGAAATATTATGTAAGTAATTTAATAAGTAGTTTATTATAATTAATGTAAAAGCAATATTTTGTTGAATAGTTTATTGTGGTTAAGGGAAGAAGTTTACCATAATTATTGTATTATTAGTACTTCAATGGAAAGATATTTACTTAAAAAGTAATGCAATTGCGAAAGCTACGTTACTGAGTTGAGGCCTAACTCTAAGAGTATATGTTTACTGAAAAGAATTCTGACAATGTTCTTCCGCGCACAGAATTTCCCTCTTTGAAGGATTCATCAGTATGTTATGTCAGTAGAATCCTAAATCGTAATCACCATGCTATATTTGCAGGTTCTAGAGCTGTCTGTGTTTATCATTGATGAAATTCTGAACATTCTGCTCGCCAATCCTGGCCAGTGGCTTCCTGTATTAAGAGAACATACGCTGTTTGCTTCGCTGGTCCAAGCATTGGACGTCTGTATCAGGGTCAGTAACGTGTAACCTTTTCAATCCGTTCAGTAAAGCTGAAATATGCTCTCGGGCAAAGTGCCGTTGGTCATTCTAGCTTTCCGTTGCGTGGAGACCAGGGGTTTTTCTGCTCCGTGCAGATTGGATGGTCGCTCATTGCTGGTACACCACAGATTCTGTCATGTCTTAATAGTTTATACACCTGGTGGGGAGAGGCACTGTGAGAGTCAAGTGTCAGCGTTTGGGCCTGGACTCGAACACTGACCCCGGCCAGGACTCAAGCCCAGATCTCTAGATCCAAACTCCATCGAGCTGACTACATGCATTTTATTAATTCAGAATTTGGTGGAAAGGACATCCTGAAAGGCATAATGGATGTTGCTAATGATGTTAAAGGGTCTGGAAATAAGTTACACTGTGTGAAGTTTGTTGGAAGCTTTTAATAAACGTTTGCTTTGCCTACCTACCTCAGACTCAAGAGAAAGTAGGATTTACAGAAGCCATTCTTCACTTGTTCCTGTCGCTGTCACGAATACCAATGGTATGAGCACACTGAACTCTCCCTACTGACTTGTATACATTTCTAGTGTGTAAGTTATGAGAATTTAGCCTCACATCAAGGCAACATACTATGGAGCATAGGGTGGAGGCAGGGGCTTGTTCCAAATTGTAAATTACAAAGCGCACTAAGAAATAGACGATGTTTAATTTGACTTTATTTTTAATCGTTGAAAAAACACTTGCTGGTGATAACTTTGGAGTATTTATGGTAGACACGTCATAATATTCTAGATTTTCAATTATTATCTAAGTTGCCTTGATAGCAGTTGGCCTGCACCTCTTTTAAAACCTCTATTTTCATTCGTTCTTGTTAATCTGCACCTCTTTTGTTTTTAAGGGCTAGGGGCATTTTTTGCGTTGTTTACCAATTGTTTTGTTTGGCCAATTACAAAGAACCCTGTGAACGGTGCAAGTCGCACCCTTGATAGGAGCTGGAGAAGTGTCCAGTTACAATATTTTGTGTTTTTTTTTTTTTTTGATGCGTCGTACATTTTAGTCGTTAAGTATTTGTAGGATAGTATTTTTAATCTTTTAGACTAGAAGCTCTAGATAAGCTTTTTTTGATCTCTTGTTTTATATTTTTTTGTATACATGTATAACTTTTTCTTTTTGTCTTAGAGCGCTGAAGCCTTGGCTATGAACAGTTTATCTCAGCCGTTGTGTTTGGGAATGGCGTCACTTTCCTTTTCAATAGAAACGCAGCAGGTAATCATTCAACTGTCAAACGCTACTTACAAGACCCTAGGTTTCAGTACGTGATACACGCTCATTGCGTAAGCCTGGGGAGGAGACATGTTGCTTATAGTGTTATCGTTTGGGAATTGAGCTAACCTGCTATGCCCAGTTAAATACGGCCGAAGCTCTCCTTGTGACCACTCTCCTAAGCGACCAGCTCTAGTTACGATCACCTTTGTGAAAACCCGTTTTGAATTGTGACTTTTAAACTTTGTAATGAAAAGCTCTCATAAGTGACCGCTCCCGTTAGCAACCGCGGCCACTTTTGGGATTACCCAACTGGACTTTTCCTTTGTTTTTGCGCTCTTGTAAGCGACCACTCAGAGTATTTTACATATAAATCAACGCTTTAATGAAACTGCACACTGCGCTTATAGTTCTTGACCAGTTAAAAAATCGAACGTAAAGTTTAGCCGTGTCTATATCAGATATAATACATGTTTATTCTTTATGAATTATTGATGAGTTCCCGAAGCTCTCGTAAGCGACCAACCTCTATTGTTTTACGATGCGGTCGCTTACGAGAGCTCATTTTTGTAAGCGACCAGCTCTAGTTATGACCACTTTTTCGAGCTTCCGAGGTGGTCGCTTACGAGAGAATCGACTGTAGTAACACATTAACCCAAACTTGCTGTTGATCTCAAAGGCTGCCCAGTCCAAGTCTGGATCCCAGTCCCAGGATAACTCCACCCCCTCAGACCCACTGAAACGAGGAAACTGGAACAGAGTATGGCAGCTGTGCCTTGCTGTGATGGCGTCCATGCTGCGCACGCTCAGACATGGTTTTCTCAAAGAAGCATTGGACTTTGCTGGTGTGCACAGGGAAAGGCTCGCAGAGGTCAGTAAAGATACAGTGATTCTATTAAGTGAGGTCTTATGGAAGAAGCAGGGCTGGTACTTGTTGGCTTTTTGTGTTATGCGATAAATGAAAGTTGGTAAATTTGCAGCTCGGTGAATAGATGATAAACATGATATGTTGCCACGAGCATGAGACAAAGAAAAAAATCTGAGTCTCCGACAGGATTCGAACCCATAACCTCCCAGATACCGATTGAGCGCTCTAACGAATGAGCTACATGTGTATTGTGTGTGATAAATGGAAGCGGTTAGAACACCCAACCCAATCGCCCTTCATTCCGTCACAAGTGTAACACATCACTTGAGAATTTGTAGTCATTTCAACTTGTGGCCGAGTTAAAGCAATTTTTGCGGACAAATTAGAGCGTTTAGAGCGGTTTTCATCTGAGTGTCGAAAGAAATTAGGCAATTACTTTGGTTTTGGTTTTGGTTTTACTACGGTTTGAGGTTGGCTGAGTAGTGTAATTGGTGAGTAAATGGTTTGGTTTTCGTGTTACGAAACCCAAAGGAAAACCGCTCTAACATTAGATAACAGCAATTTGAAGTTACCGTGTGTCACGTTTTGTTTTGAATGAGCATTTGTATCATGCGGTGTGTTTCTTTCAGGGCATGGACGGTGTGAGGCGGTCGCAGTCATCAGACGTGTTAACTGAAGCTGAGGAAGTCAGTGCGTTCTTGTTGGAACTCGCTCATTTCTTTCAGGAATGGAGGTTCACACTGCCGGATGTGTTGATTCTTCTGCTGGTAACTCTTATTTCATGTTTTTTTTTTTCTTTACAATTAGATCAGTAAATTAAAATGTGGTGTCTGTGGTGGTGCACTTTCCCATGCATTGAGAGTTAGCTTACTGGAGATAACCCTGGAAGTTTATACAAAGTCACCTGTCGAATCTCATAATGTAGCAACAACAGCAGCATCGAGAAGTCGTTGTATTTTTCAAGCGTTGAAATGTTCCTTCCTTATTTCTCTTTCAGGCACGGACTGGTGTTCTGTGTCAAAGTTGTGTGGCACTGCTGACCCATCCAAGATTGCTGGCTCATTTGCTCGATGTAAGCGCACAAATAGACCATATTCGTATTCTCGGTATTGGACAGGAACTAGCTTGTAATGGAAGCTCATGCGGGGGAATAACGTTAAAAGAGATTAATGGCATTTGAAAGGACTACCCGAATTAGCTTAGTTCCAAACTAGTTTCAGGCCAAAACCGTACTGCTTCACTATTTTATCCTTAATCGTTTTCATACAAACAACAAGTAATTTTGTAGTTATGTACAGGAGGCGAATGAGGTTGACAAAAGAATGATAGTGTTAACTTTCATGGTGTGTTATAATTATAATTATAAGATGTAAGTGAGTCAGTACAAGGATAGTTGGGTTCAAGACATTTGAATCACTGTACAAAAGTCAGTGTGTGACAGAAGTAAGTTCTCGTTGTGAGATGTTTCAATAATAGTAAATTGTGTGGAAAAAAATACGGTAAGAAGGTAAGGTAAAGTCTGCATATGAGCCAAGTGCCCCATCAGGCCGACGCTTATCTCCGGTTTCAACAGTATGAAGCGACCAGGAGTATTAAGTAGCCTACTTAATACTCCCGATCTAGGACTTAAATCTTGTGTGGAGGCTTATAACCGAAAATGTTTTTTTTATATACATATAGATGGGTTTTTGACCGTAACGTTTATTTATAAGAAGCAGTACATTTCCTGTGGTGGTGATCGTGTTTTTACTTGGTCTGTTTTTGTCATTTATTTTATTTTGACCTCATCTCTAGTTATCGAAGGGATCTGGTAACTCCTCCGTCCAGGACAAGACCCAGTCCTCACCCGTGCAACGTTCATTAAGCGGCTCGTTTTCGAGGGAAATGCTCAGAACGTACTCATACGCTGATGATGACTCGTTCAGGAACAGCCCGTTAGTCTCTCAAACCCAGTCACAGTAAGTAAATACATCAACGGTTCAATTTTTCCAGTCGGGGGAATAAGTACCAGTACTGTTAAGGAAACTCAAAAGAAAGCAATAAAAGATAGACAAGAGAACATCATCTCATCTCATCTCTCGTCTCGTCTCGTCTCGTCTCGTCTCATCTCATCTCATCCTATCTTTTTTTTACCTACGTAACGCCATACAGCTCACATTTGCCCGAACCAAACCATAAATGTGGAGAGAAGATGTCACGCCAATGTCTTTCCTTTATTTTTACCACTCAAAACTGACCGTACTTTAACTGTTACCTATATAAGATAATGCTGTACAATATATGTAAATATTAATTTAAATTATACTTAACATGCGGCCATCGCCAACTAATACCTGCATGACAGTGACCAACTCGAAAGCTCATTGGCTACTTTGGTCACTGTACACAACTAAATATTGTTTCTTCTAGGTAATCTCTATTTGTAATTTTTTGTATGTCTCATTGTAAACCATCTTATTTTAAGTTGTTTTCTGTAAATAGTGTGCAATAATAAACTTGAACTTGAACTTGAACTTATTAGGTTGTTGAAGATTCTGTGCAACTCCTTGGCGATGTTACGACAGTTAACGCCAGACATTTGTGGAATTCTCATTGATCAGGTAACAACTTAGATACTGACTCTTAGATTATGAAATAAAGCGCCATAAGCATCGACAGGGAGACTGTATTTGCCTGGTTTCGTCGCGACAATATTCATGATTTCGACCTTTCTACAGGGTATGGACCTGGAAGAGTTTCCTCCCTTGCTCTCTCTTGGGTTCAGTTCTCCGACTGTGGACAACGAGGAACCTTTATCGTTTGGTACTCTTTTGGCTTGCCTCAACATGGCGCTCTCAAATCTTGGCCCTGTGAGTTTTGGTTAATTTTTGCGATGTTTGCTTGCTTGCTTGCTCGCATATCAGCTTCACCACAAGTTTCTTTTCTTTTTTTTCCCCCAGAAACGTGCTATCTTAAGATTAATGTAACAATGAAAATGCCGTTTTGCAGAACAGCTGTTTAACAAAGTTTTAGTGAAAGACTACGCGATAATCTAACAATCTATAACTTCTTTAAAGGCGCTTACACTTACACTCTGATTGTAAACTTTTCGTCTGAATCTTAGCCTTGCTTTAACCGCCATACATAAACTTGTGTTCTTCTATTCCACTGTAATGCTTGCAAGTATTATTATTTTGTCTTTTTTCTTCCTTCTGTCCTTTTGACTTGTGACTTTCTCCAAAGCCTGACCTGAAGTCACCCGTGAAGTCACCAGTTAGGACATTATCAGAATCATTACCAAGGTAAGACGTTTCGCAAATTTGAAGGAGGTGTTTTTGCAGTCCTCGGGAACTCGTTGAAGGTTGCTTTCCCTGTGATTGTGTTGAATCTTGGGAAGGCTGTTGTTGTTCGTTCCCGGGATCTCACGGCCCCTTATTGACGACATCCTTTGACTCTTCAACTTTTCTTTTATAACTGATTTTTTTCCTGTCTATGTTACTTAGGTTGCGGCTGTTTGCAATTTTACGTGAATTCAATCGGCGTTTAAAAGCTACTTGACATAGCGCCTCGAAGGCACGTTCAGATTTTAATTTCGCGAGCCATGCGCTTGTTGTGATGCGACGGCCTGTAGATTCCGCTCCAATCCACGTGGGTTGTTCATGTACACTTCTCTTCGCCACATCTTTATAAAATTCCATAGTTTGCCAGAGTTTATATAACCACTGCTGGCCAGCAAGATGTTTTATTTGATCTCAAGTGAACTTAACATTGTCTTTCAGTGAATAACCTTTTGTCATGTGTATGCGTGTTTGTAGATCTCTTCTGATGTTCACGATGGAGAATGCACTCATTGTTGCCTTGTCTCAAGCTTGTCGATATTTGCGGGATCCCGGGCTGGACCCGCGGGTCAAGCAGTTTCTCAAGAGAGAACTTGGTAGTGAACTGGTAAGTATTGGAAATAAGCAAACTTTGTGGTATTTATCTGACAAGTATTTACCAGTATTGTCCTGTGGACTCCTTAAGTTACTTGTTTGAGATTATTCAGACTCAAAACAGAAAGACAAAAAATATAAACAGAAAACCTCAGCGAAAAGTGACAAAACTGAAATCATAATTCTCGTTAAACCTGGGTTTACTTTATCAGACTTTGAACAACCCAGCTCTGATAGTTTTTGTGACGTTGATGCGTGGTTTTTTCATTTCAAGGGAAACTTTCTTGGCGGTCTGTTCCGCCATTTTGTTCGTCGTGGTCTCCCTCCTTCCCCAGCAGGATCAAGACAGACGAGTCCGAGCAGTACTGCAAGACGAACACCAACCAAGGCACTGGCATTCACAGAGGCACCAGAACAGAAGTTCTTTAAACTGGCAGACACGTTTGTCAAGCAAGTCTTAAGATAGACCACTTTACCGGGATAGGTTTTCACCAAAGCAGCTGAACAGAAGTTCGTTAAACTGACGCACACGTTTGTGAAGCAAGTCTTAAGATCTGATGCAGCTGAACAGAAGTTCTTTAAACTGACAGACACGTTTGTGAAGTAATTATTAAGATCTGGCGCAGCTGAACAGAAGTTCTTTAAACTGACACACACGTTTGTGAAGCAAGTCTTAAGATCTGGCTCAGCTGAACAGAAGTTCTTTAAACTGACTGACACGTTTGTGAAGCAAGTCTTAAGAACTGGCGCAGCTGAACAGAAGTTCTTTAAACTGACAGGCACGTTTGTGAAGCAAGTCTTAAGAACTGGCGCAGCTGAACAGAAGCTCTTTAAACTGACTGACACGTTTGTGAAGCAAGTCTTAAGATCTGGCGCAGCTGAACAGAAGTTTTTTAACTGACTGACGCGTTTGTGAAGCAAGTCTTAAGATCTGGCGCAGCTGAGCAGAAGTTCTTTAGACTGGCAGAAACGCGTCTGTGAAGTAAGTCTTAAAATAGGAAACTTTACCGGGATAGGTTTTCACTGAAACAGCTGAACAGAAGTTATTTTAACTGGCAGACACGTTTGTGAGGCAAGGCTTAAGATAGACCATTTTATCGGAATAAGTTTTTGCTGAAGCAGCTGAACAGAAGTTGTTTAAACTAGCAAGCAAGCAAGGCTTAAGATAGACAACTTTACCGGAATGTATTTTCACTGAAGCAGCTGAACAGAAGGTTCTTTAAACAAGCAAGGGAGACAGTCTTAAGATAGACCACTTAACCGGAATAGGTTATCACTGGAGCAGCTTAACAGAAGTTCTTTAAACTGGCAGACACGTTTGTGAAGCAAGTCTTAAGATAGATCACTTTACCGAGATAGATTTTCACTGAAACAGCTGAACAGAGGTTTTCTAAACTGGCAGACAAGTTTGTGCAAAAAAGTCTTTATATAGGAAGTTCTGGAAGAGAAGTTCTTTAAACTGGTAAACACCATCGTGAGGGAAGTTGTTTGAACATATCTGCAGAGGCCTCGAAATGGAAATTGTGTAAATTCGCCGACACCTTTGTAAGGCAAGCCTTGAGACTGGATACATGGTCAGATACTTGAGGATTTCTGACACAGAAATTCTTGAAATTCGTGGACTGTTGGTCAAGGCGGTGTTGAGATTGACCAGTTGTGGTTAGATATTGAGAGAGGCATGGTTTGTAGTACTATCTCTTTAAATTGCCTGCAAGATACGTTGTTGAGTCTTGAGATGGAGCACTTTTCGGTATTAACAAAGGTACAAAATGCAATTTGTGAAGGTCATTCACTGAAACGTCGAAGATGAAGTACCTTAAGTTGTCAAGCATCTGTTAATCTTGCCAAAGGACAGTAGATCGTTAAATTAAGAACGAAGTGGCGAGGTAGCTCAGCGTATGATGTCCACGATTCAATGAATTTGCTTTCATATTGTCAGCGTCAAGACAGATTTTCCTCACTCCTCTCTATACATTTTCAGAGGACTTAATAATCAGATTTTTCCGTTGTTGATTATTTACTCAATTCTTGTCAACTGTGTAGATGATTTTGCATTGATATTGTGTAGAGAAATAAGTACTAATCACTTTTTTACCATAGAAACAGAGACTAAGCTAAGCATCCCCACAGAACGAACAGGTTAAAATAACAACGCCAAAAGGCGCAGATCACTCAGGGCAAGTTTCAAGTATCTCTTCTCCTAACTTAATTAACTTATGTTGCTGAGAATTTGGTAGTGCCTCCTTTTTGACATTTCCTTTGTTAGGCATCCTTTCGTGCTTAAAAACTGACAAAGGAAATCCCTGCGGTGGAACAATGATTAACAGCTGGATTCTACTTCACGTGTACAGTTTTGTTTTCTCCATTTCTTTATGTTAATAAAAACAAGTGAATTTTGTACCTGATCTATTCTGTTCTGTTTCCCAAGCGAGAGACTCTCAGAGGCTATTACCCTTGTATTTAACAATCGGAAAAGATTTTTTTGGCAAAAAAATAGGCCCTTGGCAGCAATTGACGTCATATATCTTTCATAAATAGACTTGTTACGTGAATGTGTTACTGTTTGAAGAATTCGTTTTCTGCATATGTCGGCAACATCGTCTTGTTAGTGGGCATAAACTACATAGTACTATTTGCCTTCTATTGTTTGCTCCACTCAAGGCCGTCACGTCTTTGGCGGCTAAACTTAATAGAGCTTTACCGCAAAACAAACCTTATGCAAATATGCATTTCACGACCATGGGCATGTAAATGAGATAGTTACTGTTTCTCTTTCAAGGAAGAGTCGCATGTCAAGATGTAAACTGGCGTGATTTGGATGTATATTTTAATCAACTCGCTGCGTTCGCAAATACCTTATGAAACTAGATAAATTGTAAAAGCAAATTGTTGCTTCTCAGATATGGGGGATCTTAACAAAATCGTTGCAACAAGACTAACGATCGTAAATCGCCGGTTCGATCCATGCTTTAATTTACATGATAGCTTTGTCGAGGCTGTTTCTTCTTCGCTACAGGTCTTAGAATAAAGAAATATGGCGTTCAGCAAGGAATGTGCTCAAATTTAGGTCAGCTCTTTGAAAGTTTTGACATTAAGTAACAGTCCTTATATTCGAACGGGCGGGGAATTTCCATGTCTAATGTCATAATGGGAACATTTACATTTGCAAGGTTGTTGTGCGGAAAAACTATAACAGCACGAAATGTGGGTGGTAATTGTGGAGGCTTGGCGATTTTGAGGACACATTGAATAACGGTTTCGTGCGATGTTCAAAATTGCGTCCAAATCAAGAAATCTTAGAGTTAAAGCCGCTTGGCAGAATGTCGGTCGATGAAGAAGCTGCGAATCTGGAACTAACCAAGACCGAAAAGTAAACAGGAACAGGCGTTTTAGAAAGATCATCCTTTATTGCCCTTTCAAAACCTATCTTTCTGGTTTTTTTGCTTATGGTTTTCTATTTACGCNCTTAAATCTTGTGTGGAGGCTTATAACCGAAAATGTTTTTTTTATATACATATAGATGGGTTTTTGACCGTAACGTTTATTTATAAGAAGCAGTACATTTCCTGTGGTGGTGATCGTGTTTTTACTTGGTCTGTTTTTGTCATTTATTTTATTTTGACCTCATCTCTAGTTATCGAAGGGATCTGGTAACTCCTCCGTCCAGGACAAGACCCAGTCCTCACCCGTGCAACGTTCATTAAGCGGCTCGTTTTCGAGGGAAATGCTCAGAACGTACTCATACGCTGATGATGACTCGTTCAGGAACAGCCCGTTAGTCTCTCAAACCCAGTCACAGTAAGTAAATACATCAACGGTTCAATTTTTCCAGTCGGGGGAATAAGTACCAGTACTGTTAAGGAAACTCAAAAGAAAGCAATAAAAGATAGACAAGAGAACATCATCTCATCTCATCTCTCGTCTCGTCTCGTCTCGTCTCGTCTCATCTCATCTCATCCTATCTTTTTTTTACCTACGTAACGCCATACAGCTCACATTTGCCCGAACCAAACCATAAATGTGGAGAGAAGATGTCACGCCAATGTCTTTCCTTTATTTTTACCACTCAAAACTGACCGTACTTTAACTGTTACCTATATAAGATAATGCTGTACAATATATGTAAATATTAATTTAAATTATACTTAACATGCGGCCATCGCCAACTAATACCTGCATGACAGTGACCAACTCGAAAGCTCATTGGCTACTTTGGTCACTGTACACAACTAAATATTGTTTCTTCTAGGTAATCTCTATTTGTAATTTTTTGTATGTCTCATTGTAAACCATCTTATTTTAAGTTGTTTTCTGTAAATAGTGTGCAATAATAAACTTGAACTTGAACTTGAACTTATTAGGTTGTTGAAGATTCTGTGCAACTCCTTGGCGATGTTACGACAGTTAACGCCAGACATTTGTGGAATTCTCATTGATCAGGTAACAACTTAGATACTGACTCTTAGATTATGAAATAAAGCGCCATAAGCATCGACAGGGAGACTGTATTTGCCTGGTTTCGTCGCGACAATATTCATGATTTCGACCTTTCTACAGGGTATGGACCTGGAAGAGTTTCCTCCCTTGCTCTCTCTTGGGTTCAGTTCTCCGACTGTGGACAACGAGGAACCTTTATCGTTTGGTACTCTTTTGGCTTGCCTCAACATGGCGCTCTCAAATCTTGGCCCTGTGAGTTTTGGTTAATTTTTGCGATGTTTGCTTGCTTGCTTGCTCGCATATCAGCTTCACCACAAGTTTCTTTTCTTTTTTTTCCCCCAGAAACGTGCTATCTTAAGATTAATGTAACAATGAAAATGCCGTTTTGCAGAACAGCTGTTTAACAAAGTTTTAGTGAAAGACTACGCGATAATCTAACAATCTATAACTTCTTTAAAGGCGCTTACACTTACACTCTGATTGTAAACTTTTCGTCTGAATCTTAGCCTTGCTTTAACCGCCATACATAAACTTGTGTTCTTCTATTCCACTGTAATGCTTGCAAGTATTATTATTTTGTCTTTTTTCTTCCTTCTGTCCTTTTGACTTGTGACTTTCTCCAAAGCCTGACCTGAAGTCACCCGTGAAGTCACCAGTTAGGACATTATCAGAATCATTACCAAGGTAAGACGTTTCGCAAATTTGAAGGAGGTGTTTTTGCAGTCCTCGGGAACTCGTTGAAGGTTGCTTTCCCTGTGATTGTGTTGAATCTTGGGAAGGCTGTTGTTGTTCGTTCCCGGGATCTCACGGCCCCTTATTGACGACATCCTTTGACTCTTCAACTTTTCTTTTATAACTGATTTTTTTCCTGTCTATGTTACTTAGGTTGCGGCTGTTTGCAATTTTACGTGAATTCAATCGGCGTTTAAAAGCTACTTGACATAGCGCCTCGAAGGCACGTTCAGATTTTAATTTCGCGAGCCATGCGCTTGTTGTGATGCGACGGCCTGTAGATTCCGCTCCAATCCACGTGGGTTGTTCATGTACACTTCTCTTCGCCACATCTTTATAAAATTCCATAGTTTGCCAGAGTTTATATAACCACTGCTGGCCAGCAAGATGTTTTATTTGATCTCAAGTGAACTTAACATTGTCTTTCAGTGAATAACCTTTTGTCATGTGTATGCGTGTTTGTAGATCTCTTCTGATGTTCACGATGGAGAATGCACTCATTGTTGCCTTGTCTCAAGCTTGTCGATATTTGCGGGATCCCGGGCTGGACCCGCGGGTCAAGCAGTTTCTCAAGAGAGAACTTGGTAGTGAACTGGTAAGTATTGGAAATAAGCAAACTTTGTGGTATTTATCTGACAAGTATTTACCAGTATTGTCCTGTGGACTCCTTAAGTTACTTGTTTGAGATTATTCAGACTCAAAACAGAAAGACAAAAAATATAAACAGAAAACCTCAGCGAAAAGTGACAAAACTGAAATCATAATTCTCGTTAAACCTGGGTTTACTTTATCAGACTTTGAACAACCCAGCTCTGATAGTTTTTGTGACGTTGATGCGTGGTTTTTTCATTTCAAGGGAAACTTTCTTGGCGGTCTGTTCCGCCATTTTGTTCGTCGTGGTCTCCCTCCTTCCCCAGCAGGATCAAGACAGACGAGTCCGAGCAGTACTGCAAGACGAACACCAACCAAGGCACTGGCATTCACAGAGGCACCAGAACAGAAGTTCTTTAAACTGGCAGACACGTTTGTCAAGCAAGTCTTAAGATAGACCACTTTACCGGGATAGGTTTTCACCAAAGCAGCTGAACAGAAGTTCGTTAAACTGACGCACACGTTTGTGAAGCAAGTCTTAAGATCTGATGCAGCTGAACAGAAGTTCTTTAAACTGACAGACACGTTTGTGAAGTAATTATTAAGATCTGGCGCAGCTGAACAGAAGTTCTTTAAACTGACACACACGTTTGTGAAGCAAGTCTTAAGATCTGGCTCAGCTGAACAGAAGTTCTTTAAACTGACTGACACGTTTGTGAAGCAAGTCTTAAGAACTGGCGCAGCTGAACAGAAGTTCTTTAAACTGACAGGCACGTTTGTGAAGCAAGTCTTAAGAACTGGCGCAGCTGAACAGAAGCTCTTTAAACTGACTGACACGTTTGTGAAGCAAGTCTTAAGATCTGGCGCAGCTGAACAGAAGTTTTTTAACTGACTGACGCGTTTGTGAAGCAAGTCTTAAGATCTGGCGCAGCTGAGCAGAAGTTCTTTAGACTGGCAGAAACGCGTCTGTGAAGTAAGTCTTAAAATAGGAAACTTTACCGGGATAGGTTTTCACTGAAACAGCTGAACAGAAGTTATTTTAACTGGCAGACACGTTTGTGAGGCAAGGCTTAAGATAGACCATTTTATCGGAATAAGTTTTTGCTGAAGCAGCTGAACAGAAGTTGTTTAAACTAGCAAGCAAGCAAGGCTTAAGATAGACAACTTTACCGGAATGTATTTTCACTGAAGCAGCTGAACAGAAGGTTCTTTAAACAAGCAAGGGAGACAGTCTTAAGATAGACCACTTAACCGGAATAGGTTATCACTGGAGCAGCTTAACAGAAGTTCTTTAAACTGGCAGACACGTTTGTGAAGCAAGTCTTAAGATAGATCACTTTACCGAGATAGATTTTCACTGAAACAGCTGAACAGAGGTTTTCTAAACTGGCAGACAAGTTTGTGCAAAAAAGTCTTTATATAGGAAGTTCTGGAAGAGAAGTTCTTTAAACTGGTAAACACCATCGTGAGGGAAGTTGTTTGAACATATCTGCAGAGGCCTCGAAATGGAAATTGTGTAAATTCGCCGACACCTTTGTAAGGCAAGCCTTGAGACTGGATACATGGTCAGATACTTGAGGATTTCTGACACAGAAATTCTTGAAATTCGTGGACTGTTGGTCAAGGCGGTGTTGAGATTGACCAGTTGTGGTTAGATATTGAGAGAGGCATGGTTTGTAGTACTATCTCTTTAAATTGCCTGCAAGATACGTTGTTGAGTCTTGAGATGGAGCACTTTTCGGTATTAACAAAGGTACAAAATGCAATTTGTGAAGGTCATTCACTGAAACGTCGAAGATGAAGTACCTTAAGTTGTCAAGCATCTGTTAATCTTGCCAAAGGACAGTAGATCGTTAAATTAAGAACGAAGTGGCGAGGTAGCTCAGCGTATGATGTCCACGATTCAATGAATTTGCTTTCATATTGTCAGCGTCAAGACAGATTTTCCTCACTCCTCTCTATACATTTTCAGAGGACTTAATAATCAGATTTTTCCGTTGTTGATTATTTACTCAATTCTTGTCAACTGTGTAGATGATTTTGCATTGATATTGTGTAGAGAAATAAGTACTAATCACTTTTTTACCATAGAAACAGAGACTAAGCTAAGCATCCCCACAGAACGAACAGGTTAAAATAACAACGCCAAAAGGCGCAGATCACTCAGGGCAAGTTTCAAGTATCTCTTCTCCTAACTTAATTAACTTATGTTGCTGAGAATTTGGTAGTGCCTCCTTTTTGACATTTCCTTTGTTAGGCATCCTTTCGTGCTTAAAAACTGACAAAGGAAATCCCTGCGGTGGAACAATGATTAACAGCTGGATTCTACTTCACGTGTACAGTTTTGTTTTCTCCATTTCTTTATGTTAATAAAAACAAGTGAATTTTGTACCTGATCTATTCTGTTCTGTTTCCCAAGCGAGAGACTCTCAGAGGCTATTACCCTTGTATTTAACAATCGGAAAAGATTTTTTTGGCAAAAAAATAGGCCCTTGGCAGCAATTGACGTCATATATCTTTCATAAATAGACTTGTTACGTGAATGTGTTACTGTTTGAAGAATTCGTTTTCTGCATATGTCGGCAACATCGTCTTGTTAGTGGGCATAAACTACATAGTACTATTTGCCTTCTATTGTTTGCTCCACTCAAGGCCGTCACGTCTTTGGCGGCTAAACTTAATAGAGCTTTACCGCAAAACAAACCTTATGCAAATATGCATTTCACGACCATGGGCATGTAAATGAGATAGTTACTGTTTCTCTTTCAAGGAAGAGTCGCATGTCAAGATGTAAACTGGCGTGATTTGGATGTATATTTTAATCAACTCGCTGCGTTCGCAAATACCTTATGAAACTAGATAAATTGTAAAAGCAAATTGTTGCTTCTCAGATATGGGGGATCTTAACAAAATCGTTGCAACAAGACTAACGATCGTAAATCGCCGGTTCGATCCATGCTTTAATTTACATGATAGCTTTGTCGAGGCTGTTTCTTCTTCGCTACAGGTCTTAGAATAAAGAAATATGGCGTTCAGCAAGGAATGTGCTCAAATTTAGGTCAGCTCTTTGAAAGTTTTGACATTAAGTAACAGTCCTTATATTCGAACGGGCGGGGAATTTCCATGTCTAATGTCATAATGGGAACATTTACATTTGCAAGGTTGTTGTGCGGAAAAACTATAACAGCACGAAATGTGGGTGGTAATTGTGGAGGCTTGGCGATTTTGAGGACACATTGAATAACGGTTTCGTGCGATGTTCAAAATTGCGTCCAAATCAAGAAATCTTAGAGTTAAAGCCGCTTGGCAGAATGTCGGTCGATGAAGAAGCTGCGAATCTGGAACTAACCAAGACCGAAAAGTAAACAGGAACAGGCGTTTTAGAAAGATCATCCTTTATTGCCCTTTCAAAACCTATCTTTCTGGTTTTTTTGCTTATGGTTTTCTATTTACGCGCGACCCGCGCTGTTTACCCGCGACCCGTGCCGTTTGCTCGCGTTCCGCGCTGTGTACTCGCGACCCGCGCCGTTTACCCTCGTTCCGCGCTGTGTACCCGCAACCCGGAACTAGTGAAGATGATGACGGCAACGATTGCAAATGTAAAAAAGATTGACATCCTCTTGTATCGATTCAAGTGCAACTTACAGTACTAGTGACCTTGTACGCAGTCAAACCAACATTTGACAAGACATCCTTATGACGCTTTCGTTCCAAAGAATCACAAAAGTAAAGGCCGTTATTGTACTGAGCTTTAGGTGGCTCCATAGGGTAATCATTTATGACGTTTCGCGCGCAAGTGTGTATGTTTTGAATGCTGTTTTTACATTCCTTTATACAGCTAGTCTTTTCAAACTTATTACATGTAATAAGCAATGATTAAATAGTGTTAAAATTTTGGGTTTTAGTCGAATTATTACTGCCCAAACAAAAGTGATTTTTTTTATTTTTTATTTTTTATTTTTTTTTATTTATTTATTTTTTATGGCTTTACTTGTGGTTTTCTTGAATTTCCTTCGGTGAAATCTTCCAAAAATCTTCACTGCACGTCGCATCCTGTGGGATACGAATTTTAAAGACGAAGAAAGTAGGATTTTTGCCAATTTATGTCTTGCCGCTGTGAAAAAACGTTTCCTATAGATTTCCCTGAAAAACGAGCTCCGACTTAAGTGAAATATTTACTACCGGTCTGCCACATTTTACAGAATTTCACCGAAGGAACCTCGAGGGAATTCCCTGTCAGTTTTGGTTTTTGTGCTCATGTTGAGGTCATAAAATATCGAAAAACACCCACGTTTTCCTTCGAGCGCGCGCAGATTACTTGAACTTTCGTCCTCAGCGCGCATGCGATCATAAAACTATAAGGAGACACCTTAAACTAGTGGCTTCGTTTTATTGTAAAGAGAAATGGTGTGTTTTCTTGTTTGCTTTCGATTGGAAGAAAGTGGAATCGTCTGGCGAATGTACAAGACGACCTAAAACTGACTAGTTTTCTACGTCCCTAATTGTTTTCTGCAGATTTGCATCCTAATATTCAATAACAATGCCTTAGCGAAGGGTTCTTAAGTGCTCTGCAAGAGCTGAAAAGACGTGGTATTATTTTTTCCTCTGAAAGTCTTTTTTTAACTAAGTCCGTTTTCTTACTTATAGCAGATACATGTGATAAAGAAGCAATTTAGTGTGCTGCTCTAGAAAAATAAAGAAAAGGAAAAAACAATCTTTTATCGTTTGAACTGAAAGCCTGTAAGCACATTTCGTATTTAGTGACGGGTAATGAAGAAGATAATTTAAATATAAATTCAGTCACATTATGCAAATGACTGATATGTGGGCTTAAACTTCAGCTTCAAACGCATTGAAAGGATAAACAGGTTTCGTTATTTTCATATGTGTTTTTCGATAAATTTAGAGGTATCAAAAGTATACAATAATTATTCTACCGCGGGTATTGCGCTTTAATGTTCATTTCAAAAGATTCATTTCTTTTCGTGAAATTTTCCGCACTTGCATATAAACGGAATGAGATGAAAATTTAATATGTTTTCGATACTTCCATAAGCAATAAAACGATACTTAGAGTTGTGACAGGTTGTAAAAGTGCTACCCTAGGGTCATCTTCACTTTCCATTGATGTCAAATGTTAATGTTTTGTTTAGAGAGGAAATAGCAAAGTGTTCTTTGATGTGATTGGTGGGAATTGAGCAAATGGGTGAAATATCCTCGTTTAAGAATCAAATTCAAGATCATAACCGTATGAAAACAAATTAAAAATTGATAGCACTCCCTGCAGTAAGTGAGTAAATATCTTCAACGCCTATTTTGACTGACTCAACTATTAAGTCAGGAAATTAAGACAAACTTTAAGTGTTCAAAGCACCGAGGCTTTATTCATCGCGGTGAAAGTGTGTGGAGGAGGTATCTCTCAGCCATCGCCTACCACCGGCAAGCGCATTAACGCGAACAAGTCACGAAAAGTCAGTTTTTGGTGTACGAACTAAACATCCAGACCCACTTGGCTCTGAAGGCCTCTCAGTTCACCTATCACTGATTTTGTGATTTATTTGTCCACAAGTTCAAATTGGTAAGTTCTTTAGACTTCGTTTATCTTCACGTAATTTACTTTTGACTCTAACAACAACAATTTAGTATGCCTTAGTTCTGAGTGGATATAGTTACAATATTCGCACATTATACGGCTAGTGATTTTTAAATAAACATATCACTGTACCAAAACACGGACCAAAAAAACCGGTGGTGTCTCAAATCTTCTGATAATTTGACAAAAGACACCTCAGACACAGCTTTCGTGAGTTACGTTTTCATTTTTCTGGAATCTTGTTAATTCTTTCTCGAAAGTCTGGGAAACTTGCACAAAATTACAACTTCCGCTCCTAAAAGTATATAATTTTGTGTTCTCGCTAAGCGAAATCTAAGCTTCCGGTACAAAGTCCGCTTTTTGGGAATTTCTGCCTTTATATTGAATATTTCTAAAAACTAACCTAATAGCCTTCAGTTAGTCTCCCGGGCCTACAAACTGACAATGTTTGAAAAAAATCGATTTTTTTGACCCTGGCCACGATTTCTTTGATTTTTGCTGACACTTATTTACTCTTAATATCACATGAGGATATTTCTTCCTTTCTTGACCGGAAATATCTGAAAACTGCTACGACGCATGTTGCAACGGAATATTTCTTGTTCCGAAGAGAAACCGAGCAAAGAAGTCTTGTAGCGAAATGAAACATTACAACTGGAAGGATTTCATTAATTATTTAAATGCCCAATCACTAAGTCACAAAAAGTCAAAATTAATTTCAAAACCTGCAAATATTAAAAAGTCAACCGCAAGTGAAGTCGATCGATTAGACGAAGGTTTTGCAATGCGCGGAAAACTTTACTTGGAAAGAAGTCATCATACACGTTTCATTTTGTTTACTTGGGACATATCGAAATGGAAGGGAAATATCTCTATTATGATCGTTATGACTAATGGTTAAAGCCAGGTTACTGTCTGCACGGAAGATGCGAATTAAAGAGTTGTACCAAACTATATATACCGCTCAAAGGCACCAAGTGAATGATCAAGTTGTTGAAGAAGACTGAAACCACTTCGGGGAAATTTAGAAACAGATTTTAAAGGAACGTGATAAAGGCGTCATTCATTCATACGTTCATTCATTTATTATTCATGACGGCAAACATGGTAAAGTTATAGAGTATTTTGAAATTGTTTTTTCCTCCAAATGTTGTAACTGTTGCTGCTTTTTAATTATTATTAAAATGTAAGGAGTTGAAATTAGGCTGTAGAGCTCCCTCGTTCTTAACTTAGAAAGCTAAAACAATCTCCTTGGAAAAAGGTATTGCAGCAGTTAGAGCTTTTCGGTCTACTTTGAACATTTTATCTTGAAAAGAGATGCAATAAAAACCCATGTGTAACCACCTAAATGAAACAGGTTCTTGTATTTTGGGGTAGTTATTGGCAATTTAGGTTAGGTGGGTTCAAAATTAGGTTCTTAATTTCTGTGAAGGAGATATATGAGACCATAGTTAACAGTGATGAGACGATCGCCAGAAAAATAAACAAACTTGGGTTTCAAACCGTTTGCGCCTTGAATATACAATACTTATTCACAACTGTATTTTGTATTTTCTTGTAATGTAAATTTGCACTCTCAAAGTCACACTACTAGGTTCAAATGTTTATCATAATTTAAGTGCAACCCACGTACATATAAGAACCTGCTTGATCTTGCTTGGCTAGAGAAGTTCTTACATTTTTGGGTATTAAAATGGTAAATTTCTGCCAACAGGTTCTTAAACCGTTAGGTTCTTACATGCGGGTTTTTTTTTGTTTTTTTCATGTATATAATAAACAATTTTTTGACACCATCTAA